GGATTTGTGGTGGACAAAGTGGCACTGGGGCAAGTTTTCTCTGAGTATTTCGGTTTCCCCTGCCAATCTTCATTCCACCAATTACCCCATAATCACCCACACCTATCATCTGGGGCTGATACAATAGGCCAGAAGTGGCCGCAGTGCAAGGGACTTAGTCCCACCCCACTAGCAATAAAAAAAATAGTCCTTAATTTGAAACCAAGGCTAACTCTATGGGATTCAAGTCACATGTGTAAGGCAGCAGGTAAATTACTGTATCACTGTGTGCTGCAAACAGCGTACTGGTGTGATAACACTTTCTGTTTAGAAAGTAAAATCATTTAAAGTAATAAGAAAAATGTAAATTTCCTCATACCTTTCTCACTGGGCACTCTGCAACATTGCAAATATTCAAGCATGAACTTCCTCTATCCTTTAAACTACCAAAGACGCCATATGGCGTCGCAAAAATAAAGTCAGCGGTACCAATGACCCCATATGGGGTCGCACAGTCCGCGCGTGTGGACGTTATTTGAAATACATTTTTAAGGTAGAAAATAATGTTCTACTTGTATAATTTTTGGCCACCATCTGCATGGAATGTCTGTCTTCCGACCTGCGTCATCTGCCAGAATGTTGCCTTCGTGTGGAATTCTAAAAAAAATCCGGAAATGCAGAGTCCGATTTCGCACTTCACGCACTTTGTCCGGACGGTCTTTCGTTTCCCACGCGAAAAGCACACACGACACCTCAATTGCGAAGTAGAGGAAGTCGGCCAGTGATGTGGTTTGGCCTTCTATAATCGAGATATCTCCGATAAAACGGCAGGGGTTCGACTCCTGGTCGCACAGTCCGCGCGTCCGGACGTTATTTGAAATACATTTTTAAGGTAGAAAATAATACCCTACTTACATAATTTTTGGCCACCATCTGCAGGGAGTGTCTGTCTTCCCACCTGCGTCGTCTGCCGGAATGTTGCCTTCGTGTGGAATTCTCAAAAAAATCCGGAAATGCAGAGTCCGACTTCGCACTTCGCGCGCTTTGTCCGAACGGTCTTTCGTTTCCCACGCGAAAAGCACACACGACACCTCAATTGCGAAGTAGAGGAAGTCGGCCAGTGATGTGGTTTGGCCTTCTATAATCGAGATATCTCCGATAAAACGGCAGGGGTTCGACCCCTGGCCGTTGATGGCGAGGTGGACCCCTTCCAGCATGTTCCGCACAAGAGCGAGACGAAATTCTCTGTGTGACAACAGGATGTAACTGTTCAGATCAGGGAGATGGAAAAATAGCTTATTTGTCCATTTCCAGGTTCGACAACATGCTATAACTGTTTGCCACAGTTTGCCCACAGCTCCACCTGAATAATTATTCACACTCCTCGTGCCACGCTGGTGTGGTGGTCCCCAGGTTGCCGACGAAGATGATGGGTCTTCTTCGAAATCACTTTATGATTCGCTACCTTCAACGTCACTCTCAGAATTGTCGGTACAGCAATCAGAATCGGAGTCATTGATGAGCTGAAATATGTCAGAATATTCCAAATGACACCACGCCATGGTACGATCAAACTTTGAAATTACTTCCGACTGAATACGTCCAGCCACGAAGCTATTACGCTGTGTGTTGTAGCCTTGAACTGTATAAGAACAGTAAACATATTGTATAGCTGAGCGCGATGTAACACACTGAGTTTATTTCACTCGCCCAGTCTCCTCATTCCAAAAGGAGTACGTCATTCAGATACCGATATTACTCTTAGACACAACATCCGCTGTGTTGCCGTAACTTGCACAAGTGGTCATGCATCTGCCTGCATCCAGGCGTACTGAGTACTTATGAATTCTTGTAGAGAAACTAAAAAACTGGGGAATTTCTTATTTGGAGCCAGTGTAAAAATCTTAACATGTTTTATACAATCTGTAAATTACAATATCTGATTCTATATTCTTTCGAGAAAAAAACAGCGTTTATTTCGTTCGTTTATCACAGAAATTGCAGAAATAGGAGCAAATTTAGTAAATGATTGCAGTTTTTATGGATTTATAATCGCGGGTATTTTAATTAATTCGGTACCGCTGCCCGTACCGGAATTTAAATGCCGGTAGCTTAAAGGCTATATGATGGGGTGCATTGGCCATTGTGAAAGCAGATAGGGTTTTCAGATTTGGAAAGGGTGTGTTATTCCTGACAGTGGCAGATGAGGTTGCCAAATTTGGAGTAACTTTCTCATTCACTCATTTTTGAAAGTTATCAGAATTAATTACACTAAAGCCTGCAACTTTATCCACAAGGCTGCTGAGGGCAAAGTGTAATGGCTTCATGTATATTTGATAGGTAGAAGAAAAGTCACAGTATGAGTGCACAGGTCAATACTCCATGACAAATGGTGATTATGTTATGACGATCACTGATCGGTATTCCATGCTGAGGGGTTAAGGCAATGTTTCAGAGACTGGACTGTGCCTCTGCCCTCAGGTAAAGAGCCTACTCAGTTGGGCCCACCTGAGTAGGCTCTTTACCTGAGGGCAGAGGCAGAGTCCAGTCTCTGAAACTTTGTTTTAAATAAAAAACAGGACAGTGTATAATATCAGAAAAGTCAGTAACTGTATTACTCATAATATACCATCTTCACAAACTTTTAAATCTTACTTGGATGGAAGAGGCTCAGAATGATGTCCAGTGGTGGGCTTTGATATTGGTAGTTTTCCTTTTATGCATTCTTTTACCATAGGGCCAGTGACTATATATGCACTATGTTGAAAATTTGGTTCCTTCAGTTTCAGAAAGGATAAGGTTAATAGGAATATGAAAGAAAAACTCTACTGACATATATTTATGTTCATTCTAAAAAATAATTATGTATATCAACTTTTCATGAAACCAAAAATATCTTGTGCAGTTGTGTTGGAAGACTTGCACATTTAAGTCAGTCAACATAACACCATGAACTGTTTGTGTTTGAGTGGTGTGTGAGCTATGGACAGTTTTTCAAGAATGGAAATAACATTGTTACTTTCATTTGCAAAATTGTCAACAGGAAATTTGTAGATTTAAGGATGTTCTTATACTATCAAAAATAAACTCAAAATCAAATGTCAGAACTGTACAGTTTGATAAGAATGAAAAGTTTTACAAACTCTGTGTGTCATATCACAGTGACATTGATCAGTTTCACCTAGTTTGCAGAAATAGTTATTTGAAAATACAGGTACAGGACTCCCATTTGCATTGTCGTGATAGAGATGTAAGGTTGTACCCCCATGCATTGAGAATGAAGATGAATTGTAATCTGCCACCTTAAAATACAGCACTAAAGCGCCACTCAGAATTTCACTGTGGGATACTTTGTAGTGAAAGGAATGAGTGACTCATTTTTCTTTGTCATCATGCTGTAGTTTTGGTGCAATATAGGTGGAATGCTGGGTCTATCCTGGCATGGAATTTGAAATGGATAAATAATTTTTGGCAGAAGCTAACAATCTAAAATTTTTTGTTCTTGTGTCTTTTTAAAATAGAAAATCAGTCAAAAATCTAGCACATGGTATATTTGAGATATCACAGATATAAACTGATGAGTTATCTTATTACTCTGCATTCTTCTTTCTACAGTCACACACACACAAAACACAAACACTTAAAATGGGATCCTAAAATATAATAAATATGATATAATACTTAAAAATTAGCTTGGGCCTGATTTAATTGGTTAAGAGTACATAAGCTGACGTAATATAACATCTATTGTATTGAAATACTATCAGAATCATACTGAAAATTATGTTGGTGCCAAGGATGCTGAAGTTACAATTGTGTTGCCGAGGTTTGATACATTGAAAATGGTGTGAGAAATAAGCATTGCATCTGTGTATGCAAGGTTTGTATAGTTGAACATCTACATGCTTAATAGTGTCATGGTACCTGCTGGGGTCTGCTTGGATTCACCATTCCTGTCCATCAGAATTGTTGCATGCTGGTAACAGCATACACGAACACTAGACTGACAAAACTGGGAATTTAGGGGGAGTACTTTTACTGGCCTAAGAAGAATCTGTACTTAAGGAAGTAGAGTGCTTATTATAAGGGAACCATACCTATACCATATATTTTATGAAGGTAATTTAATAATCCAGAATTGTGAAATTGAAATATTTTGGCTTTTTATAGTTTAAGTGCTGTGCTGAAAGTGGTCCCTTCCTACATTGCTATTTCCTTTGATCAGTCCACAGTGACTGGACACAATCTAACTTGGATAACAAACCATTAACCAGATCATGTCATGATATGACAAGCTGGTAACTGGTGTTGTTGTGACTTTCTCTAGTATGTTTCTAGTGTTGGTGTCACAGTAAAACTTGCATGCTGGTATTTCTGCAAGCTTAACAGTGGTATTGGAACATTAAGATTGTTTGCTTTAGTTAGGAAATTGGTGTTTATACAGGATAGATCTGCACCATGTATACCTAATGCACGTGGTTCACACAAGCTGCCAAGACCTGGAGTAACAGCAGCTACATTGTAGTTGCAGTAAAAATAAGAAATCTTGCTATAATGTATTCACTGATATTTGTTACTGACTTTGTAACAAAATTATTTTTAGTCCATGTTACTTTAGAGTAGTATGAATATTTATAGTGTGTAGTTTCCCCAGTGTAGTGATAACATTGTCCCATTTAATATTATTGTGTGTCATTATAAGTGGACAGAAAATGCAGAGTCCTTTCATTAAATTTTATTTAGCAATCCAGGTAGCACAGTTTCAGTTAGTAAAAAAATATTATTTTTGAATGAAATATTTGATGGTACAAGTTACTCAAGTTTATGGTATGTCAGGATAACAATAAAAGAAAGCAAATAATGAAGTAAATAGGAAGACAAGCTTCTTTGTGTGAGCTGCGTTGTAAAGCTAAGTAGTGATGTTGAATGATCCTCTTAGGTGTGTGGGTAGTCAACTGACCATATCTGTCTCTCTGTCTCACTCACTCTTAATCCCAAACCCATATGTACGCTACATGCAGGTGGTGATGAAATGTTGGATATGGCGATGAATGTATACGGGAAACCAACCCACGCACAACATGTCTACTTGCCTTACTACCAAGGTCAAATGCAGTACACGCGTAAGTTCACTGTCTCTCTTCCAGTCCATACCTCATTCAGTTTCTTCTTGTTTTGTCTGTCAATCAGTCTCACACAACTGTTGGCCAGGTAGAGGTGTGTCGTTCGTTTCAAAGTGCTGAGTAAATTCAAAATAAATTTGGTAATACTGGTAATGCTCTGTATTTTCCTTTGATTCACAAGTTGTGAAAGGGAGATGTAATATATATACTCAAAATCTGAAGTTCAGAGCATTCTGAGCCATAATTAGTATCTAATTTGTACATGGTTCTCTGATTTTACATTTGGAAGTTTCATAAAATCTTGTATTGGGACTGCTGTCAGATTTTGAGCTGAAAGCAGCGATGAGAGCTCAGTTAATCAAACGTGACTGTCGGCTAACTTGAAGTTACAGATTACCATGCTTAATTGTGCAGTAGAGTTCAGACTGAGAGGAGAATCTGGATCTAGACATATGGACAAGAAATAATGTTATCAGTTTCATTGGCTAAAATGTAAAAATGATCTGTTTTAGTGTACTGAAAATAAAAATTGAATTTGCCTGCTAAAATATTTGCTCACATAACATGATTTAAAAGTACAGATTTGTGTGTGTTTCCACACAAAAGGTCACATCATTCTTTTTTACATTTTGAATAGTTTTGGCATTTTCAGTGCAATAGGAGCTAGAAGTTCTTAATGGACTGTTTATGAGGGTAAATGCCAAGGGAGAAAATGAAGAGTTAATGGAGGAAGAAAAATGAGTAACAGAGGAAAAGATGTAAAATAAAAGAAGAAAAATGAAATAAAGACAAAACTAAAATGAAGAGGGAGAGTAAATATGAATTGGGGGAGGGTGGCATAGTGGGAACCAGTGGCCCTAAAAGGGGTTGTTTTGTAAGGCTAGATGTGACAGTGAAAGAATGAAGAAGAAAGAGTGAAAGGAAGATGTGTAAAAAGCTAAAGATTGTTAAAATAAACAATTGGTACTCACCAACCAAACAGTTCCATACATTAGAAGACCATAAATGTTTCCTTGTAAGTTCCATGAAAAATATACAGTTTTTATTTTACCAAGTTTTATTCATGTTCAGGTATTACAGGGCACAATGTTCATAGTTGTTTCCAGCTGTTCAGTTTCTTATAAATATATTTTTAAAGCTGGGATTTGAAGTTATGTCCCAGTCCAGAATTTTTTTATTTTTGTGGTTATTAATACTTGACATATATAAAAGTATAGAATGTGAAGATGTGGATTTTTCTGGGCACAGACTTTGTGGTGGTGGTCAACTGAGGGGTAGTCTGCTGTAGCAACAAGGAATTTTGTAAACAGGTGAATAACTGTTAACAGCTGAAGAGATGCTTGAGAGTCATTTGGTGGTTTAATTGTATTGTGCTCACACTAAAATTTGTAATGACAGACACACAAGAGGCCATAACTTCTCTAACCAGAATAGTTTCATCCTGAATTGTGACTGAGTCACATGTGAGACTGGTTGCATCATACCCTTTCAGCACACACTTCACATCTGTCTTTCCTTATAACCCCCCCCCAAATTCACCTAATTAATTAAAGTAACTGTGTGCATGTTTGTAAAGTAAATAAATAGTGTTGTTGGAGACAACGTATGAGTATGTTCCATTTGTTGTTGGGGTCTACATTAACAACATTGTGCACAAGTTGGTGAAACTGGAATAGTCATAAAAAGGAAGCTGTACCTTAACACATATTGTTACCATTTTCATGGGGAGTGTGGTGATTGAGTAATTGCAATCTGATCATATTTAGTCAAGGCCCCTGAGTCTGTAAAAGTTATTGATTAAACAAACAAACAAAATATTTTTAATAGTTTTGTACTCAGCACATTATGTATTGTATAACAGTTTATTTTTAACCATCGATACTAGTTTTTATCTTCTTTGTTATGGACTCTTCATGAACAAAAAGGACAAAAACTTGTTTTATTGATGTTTTATAAAATAAGTTGTTTAGTATCACATACTGTAGGATGAATGCCACAGTTCATGACTGATCTGAAAAGTTACCATTGGTTTTGTGGGATGGTTTCTTCTTGCTGATAATTGTGGGTGTTAAATTTGAGTAGTTGGCCATCATTCCTTTCAGATTGCTTTAAAATAAATGAGAATAATACTGGGTATTGCCATTTTGCATTATGGCCATTTTATTCATTAAATTTTGATATAAATCGTCATGACTGAGGCCTAACCAGACTTTAGAAGATCAGTTTTTTGCCTAGGCCTAAAATTGTACTTGGAATTATTTTTCAGTAATATTACTGCTTTTGCTTTTACATTTTTTAATTCTTGTTCATTTTTTGTTCATCTGTTGGGTACCTAGATACAGAGCATGACAGACAGTTGGTATAACGGAATTTGATTTAATTTGAATTTAGTTTATTTATTTAACATGCATAAACTGTTACACAAGTACAGTTGGACAAGTCAGTTAAAACCATCTAAGCACTACAAGTCAATCAATAACTCTTAAAAATGTACAAAATGATACACAAGACAAAGGAAAATACAATCATCTTAGAATCAGTGTCCCCCTGCTGAAGCTTAGCAAACCCGGGTGAGAACCCCCCAACAATTTAATACAAAGCAGCATGTACACTTAAACCATTTATATTCATCCACATCTCATCAAAAGCAACCCAAGCATCCAAACTACCGTCCATCACTATCACTAAAAAACTCCCTCAAAGAATAGAAATAGTTTTGTAACAAATAACTGTAATTTATTTTTAAAAAACTTAAGCTGTTATGTATTTTCATTCCCATGTTAATTACACTTTTTTGCAATGAGCAGTGTTGCATAATTGTACTATATACAAATCCTGTTTTCCTTTAATGTTATACTTGTGAAGGTCATACTATTGACTTGTGTAGATATTGTTCTTTTTTTATAAAGCATAAGATCTCGCGCGCTTGTGTGTGTGTGTGTATATATATATATATATATATATAAAGAAAAAGTAAGTAAAGCTGTCCCTGTACCAGACCCATAGGTTGTGAGACGTTGAGGGTCCCACATTATCTAGAGAATCGGCTCAAAGATGGCAGCAAGGTTGTCAGCCTTATGCGCCGGCCGCGCTTTACTCCCCAGGAAATTTATTTAATTAATTCCTGGTACTCGTTTCTGTTAAGAGGCTGAGTATACCCCAGGGCCATAGTGCAGCTGGAAGGATTAGGTCAACTGAAAAAAAGATTCAATGACCTCATCAGGACTTGAACCCACGACATTCCAGCTTGTAGCATAGTCCCTCAACCAACTATGCTACCATGTATAAAAAGAAGTTGCTGTTAAAATCTTAAAATCATCAAACAAACTTCTACAAGACACCCTGTTTTTAACTCCTTTAATGAGTCTTAGACCTTTTTTCTGTAATTTGACTTTATTACTGTTATTTACTCCCCCCCCAAATATAATACCAAATTTCAGTATAGATTCAAATTTAGTAAAATAAACATTTCTTAGTATTGGTAAACTTACCAAGTCCCATAAGGTGTTAATCAAATAAAGAGCTTTGTTTAAATTATGACAGAGATATGTATATGTGTGCCTCAGCCTAAGTTATCTATGATATAAATACCTAAAAAATTTTAATTTGATGAATAAGTTATTTCTTTGTTTTTTAAATACAAAATGGGTCCATGAGTTAAACTGGGTCCTCCTGTTTTAATCGTTCTTGTATTTATTATAAGATTATTTGTTAGGAACAAGTTTTAGAATTGTTTCATAACTTTCTCTAATTTTTCTTTTAAAGATGGGAGGTTTTTTCTGAGTAATATATTTGTGTCATTTGTGAATAACACCACCTTAGCATCTTGAACAGCTTGAGGCAAATCACATGTAAACAACAAGATCAGAAGGGGTCCCAGAACAGAACCCTGAGGTACACCATATTTTTTTCTTTACATGATGAAGCAAATGGCTTTATATTTGCTGTCTTTTCATCTAAATGCTGCATTTCCACACATTGAGTTCTACCAGTAAGATATGAATTCGTCCATGAGTGTGTTTTTCCTCTAAGTCCATACAGCTCCAATTTAGAAAGCAGTAATTTATGATTTATCACATCAAAGGACTTAGTTAAATCTAAAAATATGCCCTCTCCTGGGAGGGACATATTTCAAGACCATTATGTGCATGAATTTGTATGTAGAGGGGTCAAGTTATTTCTGTAATACAGTGCTCTTTCTTTCTCTCCTAGAAGGGTATGAAGTAATTTTGCATACTATACCCATCTATTTGTAAACTGAATATTTTGTCATTTCTAATTTCAGTATGTACCTGAACTGAACTATTCAGTTGCAGTCTGGTATAGCTCAGTCAGTTTAGGGACTAGGTTACAGGATGGACTGTTGGGGAATCAGGTTTAGGTTCATGACAGGGGCAGACATTCTCTTCACAGGATACAGATTTGCTCTGAGGCTCAGCTGTTCTTTTATTAAGTGGTTACTGGAAGCTGGGTATAGAGTGGCAAGGTTGTGAATAATAATATACTGTAGCATCCTGTTGCAGATAATTTATTTTTCAACAAATGTCTCTGATTCACCATCTTACGTGCAACGCGTCTAAAATTTATGTAAAATTTCTTACGTCACACAGTGATCTTATTAAACCTTATTTAAAGTTTCTGTACATTGCACTACATGTTTCAACCAACGACGATGAAGGGTACCCCTCATATTCTGTTGGGCAAGTTGCAACACTTTCATCACTGTATCAGTAGAGGATTATTATATGAGAAATGGCAGGAAAGTTGAAAGAAAAGGAACACTTGTCAAGATTTACAAGCAAAGAATATTGTCAGTTCTTAATTTCTTTAGTTCCACATGTCACAAAATATGGCTGTGCATCCTGCAGTGTGTTGAAACCGTTAGCATGAATTTGAGATCCCCATTTTACAAATGTAATATGATTTAGTTTTCCTGGGAATAAAATATGTATATAGGTAGATACATGCAGTATTCCAGTTTCATCACTTAAAATGTTTCATTTCTTATCCTTTTCTCACTTATGCAATAATACTTTGTTGACCTTGTACTTGCTTTCACAATAACACGTCTGTGCAATGTAATATGACCTTTTATCTTCTGAAAATATATGCTGCAAACTGCACCACAAACACACTTGTTTAGATGGAGGTATGTATGAACATGTTCCAAGCTAGATTAGGCCTGAATATTCATTCATATGGGCATTGAGTTCTGTAAGAATTCAACTAATATGCCACTAGTGAGTGGCCCTCAGCTGGAAGAAATTTAAACATTTTTTTCCTAGATTGACAGGATAGGGAGTGTCATAAACCAACTTTCCAGATGAGTATAACAGAGCAGGCAGATGAGTAGTTAGTGTGATCACCTCACTCTCTGCAATTTTTGTGTAATTTACAGTATACGTGGTCTGTTCAAAAAGTTTCAGAACTTTTGAAATAGCACAGAAACTTGACGTCATACCAGTGTCAGGTAAGTTGTACTACCTAGTGGTGTGCTTCCTAATTATTTTTGACATCAAAGGTGGTGCATATCATGAATTATTACGTTGGGCAAATAGTGACTCACTGGTATTATCTTGAAGTGCTGAAACGTCTAAGATAAAATGTGAGGAGGAAAAGACTTCAGTTGTGGAGAAACAACTGCTGATTCCTCCCTCATGACAGTGTGCCACCTCATGCATCGCTACTGATTCCTAACTTTTTGTCCAATATGAACACAACTGTGCTTCCTCAGCCACTGTACTCACCTGACCTGGCTCTGGCAGACTTTTTCAAATTTCCAAAATTGAAAGCCACTTGGAAGGATGAGAGTTCAGACAATTCAAGAGTTATGGGATATTTGCAAATGGAGCTGTGAGCAATCCCGAAAAAGGCATACCAGAACTGTTTCCAGAAGTGGCAACAGTGAGCGGTGCATCGATGCAGGAGGGAAGTACTTTGAAGGTGATAAGGCTCACTCAGTTGCAGGCCTGTCCAAAAATATTATAAAAAATCGTTCCAAAACTTCTTGAAGAGACCACATAAAGCAAGTGCTGCCTTCAGGCACTTCTCTACTCATTAAACACAGCCTGTTTTTAAATTGTCATTTCATAACAACTAAACTAGCTTGGATCATTGTAGCAAGTGCTTCTGCATCTATAAGGAGTATTTCTGTATGTATTAGCCATTGCATTAGGGTAATGAGTATACTTCCTATTGCTTCATTTGCTGTCTGGTCAGAATTAAACTGTAACAGTAATTATAGAAACATCTGACTAGATCTTTCCGTGTATGAATGTATAAAATATGTATGTTTTTGGCCCACATAACAGGTGAAGTTTTTACACACAATTGTTTTTCATCCCATCAGTTCCATCAGGCAGTTAATATAGAATTGTATGAGAATGTCAGTGTGACTGCTTCGGAGTTTCACATAATTTCAGCATTGGTGTTGCTTATGGTAGTGAATTAACAAATTAAAATGTGTGTTGGCCTCTGAAAGCACAATGTCCACAGTGTATTCCATGAATATCGGCCAGTTCATTTAGATGTTATGGGAAGTGACAGACACATTTAAATCACACACTGCATCATTGTACTGTAACCTGTACTTAAGTCAAGACTCTTTCTAAGAATTTTGTCATCTTGGATGTGATGCTGTGTAGTCTGGGTAAAAGCCCAGACTTTTGGGAATTATAATGCCTCCATCTTCTTGCCTATTTGGGCTTTCATAAGCAGGCAGTATGACAGTACTTTATGGATGTGGGATGTGCAGTTTTCTGGTTCCTTAGTAGCACACTGACACTGTTCCGTGCAGCAACACAGTAGTGAATGTATGCATAATATTATGAATTGTTGTTCTGTTCTGTAGCCTTTACTCTTGTCCAGTAAGATGTGGTTCATTTATTTTGTTTGATTCGCTCCAGGTGAAGACCCTTTGGTGAGTGACCAGCAACACTACCGCTACATGACCGTGGATGACATGAAGTCTCTTGGTGATGATTCATTGCAGATTGATGTCACAAGAGATGAAAGGGCTGAATCCAACAGAGTTTCCATGGGTAACTACTGTTTACTGTTTGGAGTTATAAGTATAATCTGGTGACATTTTTTTATCTCCAAGTGTCAGTTTTAGTGAGTAGGCAAACAAAATTTTTGTTTTATGTGCTTGTTTTTTTTTCTGTAGACCCATCACTAGGGGTCAGTGACCTGATGTTGAGCCCCCTCCAGGTTAGAGAGCATTATCAGACAGCAGCCAGCAACCATGTTCCGGACAATGTGGACCTCTACAGACAGCCTGTCCATGTGGGGTAAGTACCTGGCCCATGCCAAAATTAAATAAATTCATGTAACTTGTTGGTGTAATTTTTGTAAGAATTATTGTCATGTTATATGAAAAAGTATGTGCATTCTGTGGATGTTTGAGGAATGTAGAATTAGTGTTTGCTTTTATGTCTCAGGGGTGCCTCAGGTACAATTGGGTTAAAATTCAGCATCCCTGGCTTAATACAGTAAGCGCCAAAATTACAGTACTGAAACTTGTGCATCTCGAATGTGCCTGTAAGTTTGTCGACGGGGCATAGCTCCAGCCGCACGTGTTCCCAGTAGTGAAAAGGAAGTTGTGCAGTTGTTGCTGGAAATGGGTCTCTCGACGGAGGAAAAAGTATTCATAGTTGAGTATTATTTCCGCTCATACAGAAGTGGTCGCCAGACAACTCGCCCCCTTGGTTTTGAGTTGCAAGATGTTATCCAGAAACCGCTACATAGTACATGTGTGACGATATGGTGTGCCATCTCAGCACACGATATATTAGGCCCCTATTTCATTGAGGATGAGGAAGGCAGTGCTCTTACTGTCACCCAATAATGCTGCAGAGACATTGTGATTGGACCATTTCTTCAGGATTTGAGAAGGTTCTGTCGTGCAAGGGGCCTTCACGTGAATAAACAGTGGTATTAACAGGACGTCTTTTCATTTCAGTACTGTATGTTTTGGCACATACTGTATTATCACATGTCTGAGATGAAAAAGAGGTTTTGAAAATATAATTGCATTTATTGGACTCTTTTAAACACAGCTTGTGACTGCACTTTACAGTTCACTGTCACTGTCTCCACTAGTCATTGCCTCTTTACAGTCTTCTAACAAGGGCTATCCTTCACTCCTGTACAGCTCACGAACTGCACTCCCTAGCTGCTGTCTCAAGACACTGTCGTAAAGACAGCTAGTCCTCATTATATAGCCCCAACACAGACCACAGAGAAAACATTGCTTCCTGTAATTATTTGGTGCTTCTGTTACCATGGGAACCAGCTGTCATGCAGTGTTTACAAGGACATTCCCTAGTAATGGGCATGTTTGAAGAGCCATTCCCTAGCAACAGCTGCCTTTGCTGGTTTCACAATTTTGGCTTTCATCAGAAATGCCACACTATTGAGGCTGTTGCCATGCCCAGTCTGTACAGCATGACATAACATTACAACAGAAAAAGAGTTTGATTGGCAAAGTGAAGGTGAATTTTGATAGTTTGTGACTTACAGGCTTTCAAAATACTTTGTATGAGGTGCAGTCATATAGTTTTCTGGACTGAATTTCTTTCTCCATTACTGCTCCTAGCACAAACTTCTGCCACTAGGTGTAGTAAAACCTTGTGACAGTCCAAACTTGTTACAGTTCTCCTTGGACACTATTGTCCTCTTTAAGTCATTTCAGAAGGAGTGACTGATTTTTTGGCAAGTTATGACTTGTTCCTTATATCTGGACAGAAGACAGTTGCCTTTACTTACATTCAGTTTGAGTAACTAGAAGGGGACAGTGTCACTATGGGAGTCAGGTCAGTAGCTTTCTGAAGATTTGAATTTTGTCTCTTGACAAGTGTAGCTGTTATCATTTGCCTTCAGAAGGGTGTAGCTGAACACTAAACTGAAGAGTGTAACTGTTTTCATGTGGGAGACCAAATTCTATCAATGGGAACTGCTTTATTCTGAAGAGTTGTTATGTGTTTGGCTTATGCTGATTGCATAATGACTTTTGCTAGTTAAAATCACCCAATTGGGGATGAATTCTTGTCTGGGTGGGTATGTCATCAATTCAGATCCTTTTTGGGGATGAAGTGTGTGCTCCCACAAGATACGAGTACTTGTCTTGGGAACTTGGCATCATAAATTAATCTGAGTTGGAGGTGATTTGGCTGCACTCCACATGTTTGTCTAAAGTAATCAGGCCTTTGTTTTGGAACATTAAATTTTGGTAATGTTAAAAGGACTCCTTGCTTCCCTGAAGGAAGTTAACAGAGTTTTGCTTTTGAGTAATTAAACAGTATTAACAAGGGAAGTAGTTGTGTCATTCATTTGGAGGAGTGGACTGCCTTCAGCGGTGCAGTTTCCAGTTGCCTTAGTTATTATTATTATTATTATTATTATTATTATTATTGGAGGGGGTGGGTTTCCCCATGCACCGTGACTAGTAGTCTATTGTACGTCCCCCCCCCCTTGATGTTCTACCAGTCTCTATACCCTACCGGTACTGGTGTGTGCCATCAGCCCTGACTCAGCCAGCGAGTTCGGCCTCTACTGGCTCAGCGGTACCTGATGCTTCCCCCATCTACCAAAGGCGTTGGAGACTCTTGTTGGGTGGTAAATGTCCGATAATTTGGCTCAGAGGCCTCCTTGAGACATGAGGTTCTTTTATGTGCTGTAAAGCTATGACACGGGACCCACAGCTTAAAGTCCCTCCCGGAGGACTTGTTCCCTGAATTTTTCCGCCCTTAAAAATTCCATGACCTCTGCCAGGTTTGAACCCACATATCACGAGTCATGAGGTGGGAACGTTACCTCTAGACTACGGAGGCCGCTTGCCTTGGTTATTACTTTGACACAAACCTGATAAAGAGTTAAATGGGCTTCTGGTGTTGGCATATAAGTACAAAGAAGGTTGAATGTTGTTGTAATGGGGAAGGAAACTCAGTTCAGAAAATATTTGATTGCTTCTTGTATGATGGCATCAGTCAGGGCAGAGGTATCTCATATGTATGATTTCTTCAGTAGTCCATTCAGAATTTCTTTCCATCTTTCTTTTTGGAATTAATCGTACACTACAGCTTTCTAGTTCTAAAGCCAATGTACAGAATGTTTTAGGTTACTTAGGCTGTCCCTGGAGGGAATGGCTAAACTGTGAAAGGTTACTAATCAAGTGATATTGAATGAAGAATGTTTGTCAGCATACATTCTTTTCAGAGTAGTTGAAGAGTCATTGATATTTGTCTCAAATAGTGATGGGGTTATTAGTAGATGTGTTCCTTGTGTAAGCACTACTGAATCTACAATAAATGAAGTTAGTGATCAAGCTAGAAAATGTATTGAAGCTGAAGACACAAAATTTGAACATTTGTTGTAGATGAAATCAAAATTGGTGTGAGGTGTGAATGTCTTGCATGACTGGTAGGATATACATGCAACAGATTAGTGTTTTGAATATTACTGTAAATGTAACAGTAATTATTCAGTAGAAGTTTCAAAATTACCATTACCCCAAATATAAGGCAAGGTGTTTTTTTTTAAATACTGCTTCTTAGAAAATAGAGGTTCCCTTATTTTGGGTCTTTAAGAATAAATATGAAGAAGAGTTTATTATTGATTAATAGTATAGTTTTTAGTTACATTATCAAAAATACTTTCTTATTCTGATTTCCTCATCAGAGAAATAAGGGTCATCATATATTAAAGCTTATATGGTAGGTGTATTACTGTTTAATACCCTTTATTTCTCATAACATTGTAGAACACAGTAAAATTAAGAAGTTTTTTCCTAACATAGTAAAACTTTGTGAAGTCTTGAAGAAAGTCGTCTTCTGGGTTTTGGCGCCGTGTATTCTTCGTTTTGGCTGATGTTTCGGAGGAACGTATACGTATACCCAGAAGATGACTTTCTTCATAGTCATCGCCGTGAAAACCTCAAAACTTACATTTGTGAAGTCTTGTTTAAAATTTAAATATGCATAAGAGAAACTTGGCTGATGATACCACAGTGTTGTGTTTAAATGGAATGGGTAAAATATTAACTTTGCAGGTCAGTAATTATGTTAACTGTCATGACTAGGACATGTTCATTTCACATTTTGCTAATAATCAGTTAATTAGTAATACATTAAGTTGGGAAATTTAGCCACTTCTTGCTGGGCACTGTGTGTGTGAATCTTTCATGTGTACATGGTGTGAGCATGTGTGCATTTGCGTGTGTGCATGGAAATCCATCCATCTGCCCATCTGTCCACCCATATGCCCTCCTACTGTCCTCTCCAGTCTGCTCTCCCACCCACCACCCACCTAACCATCTGTGTTGTCCATCCATAAAATATTTTATGCGCAAATATCGTGGGACAAATGTGTGGACCATATGGTGAATGTTGAAGTTAATTTTCATAGGTTTACATGTTTTCACTTTGTATTACAAATTATTGGTGGCCCACAGAAAATAATTCCAATTTCTTACAAAAATTACACTGACAGTATTTTCAAGTAAATACTTCTATAATCCCAAATTTATGAACTGTAATTAAAATAAAGTGTTTTAACTGTATTGAATAAGAGTGAACAACCATAATTGAATTGCATTTTAACACAATTTTTAAATCATGTGTTGATTATTTTATTATGTATTGTATATTTTTGCTAACAAAATGAATTAATATCGTATTGGTAAATGCCATCTGCACTGTGTTTACAATGATAGAAGCCCATTGTATGTGTGTGTATGCGCTTGTGTGTGCATGTGTGTGTGTGTGTTTACTAATTTCATATGAGGCAATTCATCTGGGAGTTGTATTTGTCCTTTTCCCATACACGCATGTGCGTGTGGGGAGGGGGAAGTGAATAGGCAGGGTCTGCCACTGTTGAGAATTTATGCACCTATCTCACATTTGGACATAGACTTAAAAAAAAAAAGTCACAATAAATATACCTTTTTTATGTGATTAGAAATCTGCTTTCCATAATGTTGTATGGTAAGGAGTAACAAGACAGCATGCCATGTGAGAAATAGAAGGTTAATCCTTAACTGCTATGTAAATATGTCCATTGATCAGAACAATTTTAGAAGGGTTGGAACTTTAATAGCGGCAACTATTTATTTACAGCTGATACAAAATAGATGCATGTTTCGAAGTTTTACTGTTCTTCAGTATAGTCACCAGCATTGTGTACAACCCGTTGCCAGCGATGTGGAAGTCATAGGATACCTTTAGCAGTGCCTGTTGTGTTGATAGTTTGAATGGAGCGGTCTACTGCCTGAAGAATCTCTGGAACAGTTCTG